TGTGAGTATCAGTAACACTGAACACTAAAGTTACCTCTCAACACTGAGTATCAGTTACACTGAACACTAAAGTCACCTCTCAACACTGAGTATCAGTTACACTGAACACTAAAGTCACCTCTCAACACTGAGTATCAGTTACACTGAACACTAAAGTCACCTCTCAACGCTGTGAGTATCAGTTACACTAAAGACAGTCTCAATGCTGTGAGTATCATGCAGTTACACTGAACACTAAAGTCACTTCTCAACGCTGTGAGTATCAGTTACACTGAGCACTAAAGTCACCTCTCAATGCTGTATCAGTTACACTGAACACTAAAGTCACCTCTCAACGCTGCAAGTATCAGTTCAACTGAACACTAAAGTCACCTCTCAAGGCTGTGAGTATCAGTTACACTGAACACTAAAGTCACCTCTCAATGCTGTGAATATCAGTTACACTGAGCACTAAAGTCACCTCTCAATGCTGTATCAGTTACACTGAGCACTAAAGTCACCTCTCAATGCTGTGAGTTTAGTTACACTGAACACTAAGGTCACCTCTCAATTCTGTGAGTATCAGTTACACTGAACACTAAAGTCACCTGTCAACGCTGTGAGTATCAGTTACACTAAAGACACGTCTCAATGCTGTGAGTATCATGCAGTTACACTGAACACTAAAGTCACCTCTCAACGCTGAGTATCAGTTACACTGAACACTAAAGTCACCTCTCAACACTGAGTATCAGTTACACTGAACACTAAAGTCACCTCAACGCTGAGTATCAGTTACACTGAACACTAAAGTCACCTCTCAACACTGAGTATCAGTTACACTGAACACTAAAGTTACCTCTCAACACTGAGTATCAGTTACACTGAACACTAAAAGTCACCTCTCAACACTGAGTATCAGTTACGCTGAACACTAAAGTCACCTCTCAACACTGAGTATCAGTTACACTGAACACTAAAGTCACCTCTCAACAATGAGTATCAGTTACACTGAGCACTAAAGTCACCTCTCAATGCTGTGAGTATCAGTTACACTGAACACTAAAGTCACCTCTCAACGCTGTGAGTATCAGTAACACTGAACACTAAAGTTACCTCTCAACACTGAGTATCAGTTACACTGAACACTAAAGTCACCTCTCAACGCTGTGAGTATCAGTTACACTAAAGACAGTCTCAATGCTGTGAGTATCATGCAGTTACACTGAACACTAAAGTCACCTCTCAATGCTGTGAGTATCAGTTACACTGAACACTAAAGTCACCTCTCAATGCTGTGAGTATCAGTTACACTGAACACTAAAGTCACTTCTCAACGCTGTGAGTATCAGTTACACTGAGCACTAAAGTCACCTCTCAATGCTGTATCAGTTACACTGAACACTAAAGTCACCTCTGAACGCTGCGAGTATCAGTTACACTGAACACTAAAGTCACCTCTCAACGCTGTGAGTATCAGTTACACTAAAGACACGTCTCAATGCTGTGAGTATCATGCAGTTACACTGAACACTAAAGTCACTTCTCAACGCTGTGAGTATCAGTTACACTGAGCACTAAAGTCACCTCTCAATGCTGTATCAGTTACACTGAACACTAAAGTCACCTCTCAACGCTGTGAGTATCAGTTACACTGAACACTAAAGTCACCTTTCAATATCAGCGCAAGGAATATGTAAAAAAGCATGGTGTCTTCTCTTAGGTTAATGAGTGTGTTGTTGCCACAATGTATCAGGTTTGATATTGATCCTATGTGATACAACAAATTTAAATACGTGCATGACAACTCCTTATGATGTATGCAGTATATGCAAGTGAAATAGATTTCAGTTCAAGTGCACAGCATGCAAACGAACTCTAAAATGTATCAAGATGCTCAATATTAGCAGGCTTATGTCACATTACCTCATCAAAAAAGTTCTGAGTCTTCCTCAGTATATGCTTGAGTTCGGTCAGTTCCAGAAAATTTCTTTTCAGTGCTTCCTGATTTGTGTTCACTTCCTTCATTTCATTTTCTAGCTTTTCAAATGTTGCCTTGGAGAAAAGAGAAATAAATGCATCAGAATTCTCCAACTTATTAGCTTAAGGTAGAGATGCAGTTTACCCTACAGGTATTTTAATTAGTTAATTAGGAAACCAAGATGACCTCCCTTGTCCACAAAACTATATATTTTCAGAAAGCTTATTGTATGAATTTTAAAATTTTGTTAGTATTTTTTTTTATGGACACTATATAGTTTGAAATATGCACAAAAATGTGCCTTTTTTGGTCAAAAGTTGTCTGTACGATTGTTGTAACACTGTTCACCCAAAAACAATGCCCCAACAGCGTTTTGAAGATAAACACATTGTCAACCATTTGTGAAAATTTCAAAACAATAGGTCAAAGCGTCTAGGAGCTATTTTTTGTTAAAGTTCTGGGATGGGCACTAAAAAGAAGCTGAGATAATTGCTAATTTGCATAACAATTCACTCAGTAAGAAGTTTGCTAATGCTCATAATTAAAATGGCTGTAACATTTCCAAATTTAAATATAAAAAGTTAAATATAGTGCATAATATGGAGATCCCGTCATTACTTTTTTTCGCCATGTTTCTTTTTTAATATTCATGTATAGCCTTGCTCAATCTTGCTAAGCATTCAAAAGAGAGAATGTTTGCACCTGTTATCTATATTTTAAAATCGTTTTTTGAGTATGTTCCACTATTCACAATTCTACAAAATTTTAACAGTCTATAGCCAAGACTGTTTGAATAAAAAAAGCAAAAAAAAAAAACATTTCACTCCCAAGTGCCCACAAACCTGCATCTCTACCTTAATAACACAATGAATAAATGGAGGACTACAAAATATTATGTATAGTCACTGTTTAAGTATATATTAATCCAATACCATGATAATGCATGGAAGGAAGCATTTAGTAACTTTCTTGTGTGTTCATGTTTATTAATTTTACTCAGAGCCTAAAAATATTGAAATTTCTTTACAGTGATAATAAAGTGTTATTATTATATTATCTAGCCTATTCATTGTGTTACTTGGCAGTGAATAGAAGGCAGCCTCTCCTATTGTCTTTGGGTCGACACACTAAATCACTACAATATAGGGATTATTATTATAGACTCACCTCCAGATCTATCATTTCTCTCGGTGGTGGAGCTTCTGGATTCTCACCAGTATCCAAGATGGTAATGTTGGCTTTTTTGATTTCTTTTTCCAAGAAACCTAAATGGTTGGAAGAAATCAATAACAGAATATCTGTACACATGCCACAGATAAATAGCTGAAAGTGAGAGAAGAATTTTCGAAACAAAACACTTACGTAATTTTCTCTCCATTTCATCACAGCGTCTAACTTCATTTACAAATTTCCTTTGAAAAGCATTCACATCAGGATTCAACTGTTAGGAAAATGGAAACTAAATTAACACATTCAAAAAAACACTGCTCTCAAGAGACTCTTAAGTGGAATATTGCAAATTTATTTAAATTTTTGACAAAATGAAGATTATTTAACAATAGTTTACCTTAGCATTCAAGGATTAATGTAAGAATTCATTACTGAATTTTAATTAATGTTTAGTTATATTTTGAATTTCTAGTTAATTTATACAATTTTAATTACATGAACATTTGTTTTGTGTCATTTACTAATTTTAAAAATTTATTTACACAGAAATGAAAATGAAATAAATATAGAAATATGTCCTAAAATATCCTATTCAAAAACAATACAAAATGATCAAAATCTTTTATGTCGTATAAATTCTGATTATGGGCTGTACATGTATTTAAATCACCCTTTGATATTTAACGCCTCAAATAAAGACTGGTATTCAGAACTATTTTTAAACTTGTTACCACCGGAAACAAAATCAGCAACCATATTGTAATCTATAATAAGTTAATGACTCAATCAAATTATTTTAGGGAAAAATTATTTCCTAATGCTTTGGCATACATCTTGCATATTGGAAAAATATCAATAATGAAGATTTGATCTCTCAAATTATTTAATCAAAGTTACTCACATCTCTAAACTGCACCAATCCCAGTTCTCCAAGCTCAGAAACACATGTATAAGCTGCCTCCGACTGTAAAAACAGCTGAGCTAGGGTCATTTCTTCACTTCGGAATAACGACCCCATTTTGAAGCGATTTCTTCAGCAACTGCAGTAGAAATATCTAGGTCAGTCGTAATAAATACCGTACTTTGTTATATGTGCAGTGACCTGACATACAAGACAAATATGTAGCAAAGGTTACATTAAATAAGTGTCAGAGTTCAGTGATGTAAATTTAGATAACCCAAGTCTAGTATACACATTACTAAGATACAATAAAGTACAAGATAAATTTAAATGACAACTGTTTCTTCTCCCATTCGACTTAAACTTTTTTCTGTGACTTTGAAATAATAAAAGGAAAATTTCTTTTAGGCTTATGAGCAACTTGTGGACCAGTTAAGGTACTCTAATGTCACTGCATAATAAACTAAATAACAAGTATTTGCAATAAAATTTTGTTTTCATTCACTACAATTTTCAGAAATTTTCATAAAAAATATTTTTTTAAATTGACATATACACACAAGATTTAGTTTTATGTCAGGTTATACAGCACCTACTGCAAAAAGAGAAATATTTTTAAACGTGTAATTTTAATGGATTTGGATATTTATTAGGTTTTAAATTTACTGGTTTGCGAAGGGAACAATAGATTCTTTCATTAACTTCGCCCATTCACTCGGTATTAATTTTGCTATCAGCAAAATAGGTGAAAATAAAACCCAGCAAATAATCAAGCCCCATAAAGTATTCACACCAATGGTGGACAATAGTTTCAACTGAAGATTATAGGGTAGCCCACACCACAAACTTTTTGAATAGCATTTATGCCCACACTGAGCACGATATAGGGGCATAAATTGACAGAAAAAAAAAACAATTGTAATTTTAAAAGTGGAAACACAGATAGTTACAGCTTGGCTGTGATTTCATTAGTATACAGATTAGTGCCAATATTTCATTTATTTGTGAGAACAAAGAAACCATATTATTTCCACAACCTGACATGACCAGTCAACATATCAACATATTTCTATGTTTTCAATGGCAGTTGAATCAAACCAGCCAACAGACACAGTGGACAATGTAATCTTTTGTACATATTCCAATGTCATTCTACTGGATAACAGAACCTTCTCGTTTCATCTTGAATTGTGAAACTATAAATATTATAAGAAATCAAGGCATGGGTTTGTTGTTTCGACAGTAATTTACACAATATTAAATTAAAAGTGAAAGGCATTGTCATAACTCGTATTCAGAATTATTATGAGCATGACAAGCACTCTTACAGTTATCGTCAATGTCCCATTGGGTCTACCACATATCTATTACATATATAAGATATAGACTATGTAATAATAATAATCTTTATATTAAACATAATGACAATGTAAACTTCATCTCAGTCACAACAAATTAAAACTCATTGTCAACTCATTTGTTGAGCTCACTACCTAAGGCGCGTTATTTATTTGTTCTATTGTTGATTTTTTTGTGATTCTACTTATAGTTCATGTGCGTTCTTACGTTCCTATGTTCTACCTGTACGTTATTACACTTTCTTCTATGCTATCGATAAAGAGCCATTGCTCGAAACGTCTAGCTATTTTTAATAGTTATTTAGGACTACGATTACCAAATATTATCTTCTATATATCATATTTATCAGTCCGAGCAGCGTTTATTTATTTATAAACTACTATCTCAGTCACAAATGCAATAGAGTAATACATCAAACAAAAATAAAAACAAAAATAAACAAAACAATTAAAAATAAAATAAGCTGGTGTGAGACTTTCAGAAATGTAATAAAATGTCAGATTGAAGGAATTGAAGTTGTATTCGTGATGGTAAATAATGTGTTAGTACTGTCAGTACTATTAACATCAGGAAGTTTATTGATGCATTTTCATACATGTATGTAAGTATACTACATAAATGAACAAAACGGCTGTTTAAAATAACAAATGTCAATCTTACTATAAAAAAATTAGATTTTTAAAAATTGAAAGTACACAGTCAATCCAGATATCTATTAAAATATATTTAGTAAAATGATTAACGACAAGACGTGATCTTCTAAAGAACAAGTGCAAACAATCTCTCAATCGTTTTTTGACAACCCCATCTCACAGTCGCAGAAAATCATCATTTTAATATTTATAAGATACACGTCTGTTATTTTAAATGGTAACATTCTGTCTTGACGTTTCGTTTTTCAAATATTATTATGTGGTCAGAAATAGAACCCAGACAAGGATTTAATATTATTTTCATTTTGACGATTTTTCGCATCATTTTAATTTCAACATATGATGTCATTACGATGTTTCAAAATCAACTAGTGCAATTCAATGTTGTCAGAAAAACTATAATCAATATTTCTTACCTGTATGTAAATTTAGTAGAAAAATAATATTCGTGAGTAATTTTCCCGTGTTTTACCTTCTCACAAAATGGCGACCAAGCTGAAGTGACCAGCTGACGATGACGTTCCCAGGATGCCTTTCGTGTGTGGGCGTGACATCGCTCTGAATTCTAATTAGAAATCATGAAACGGGGGAGGGCACATGCGCATGGAACTGTAATCTTGCAAGATTGCTATCAAATTTACTACCTAAATTGTAAAACACCCAAACAATGAAAATACAGAGGCGTTGGCCAACATTAACGAAATTGTTAGCCATGATTCGGTTTATAGTGAAATGTCAAAAAGGAAGGTTTTCTTGGTTTCGCGGCTCTTTTGTCCGGATCGGGCTTCGGTATGATCCGTGGCCGTGGTAAATCGTGGCCATTTCACAATGTAATTTCATCCTTACAATTAATTAAATAAAACTTTAGTATATTAGTCTTATTTTTGACTCTGTACTATGGTATTGGTGATATATGAATTGGGTACTTGATGGCCAACCAACCTAATCAAATATGTATTTTGCAATGTACGAGTGCAAAATAAATAATAAAATTAAAAGACACGCCCAAAGTAGAACAACCAATCATTTTATTATTGGCCACTTTGTGCACAATCAGCGTCAACTTCATGAAAGAAACACGACGCACTTGCTAAGCCAGACCGTCTGGTGGCGCCCTACTAGATAAAGTCTGATAGCGATCTATCCTCGGGGGCGGAGCTACGTCACAAGATAAATAAATAAATAAATAAATAAATAAATAAACGCTGCTCGGACTGATAAGTATGATATATTGAAGATATCGATAAAGAGCCATTGCTCGAAACGTCTAGCTATTTTTAATAGTTATTTAGGACTACGATTACCAAATATTATCTTCAATACGTCACAAGATGTTCCACGTTGCTACGACGCGCACCACTGTACATGCATTTCTAAGGGCTCTGTGCGCGCTGCTGTGGAACGCCGGTCGAGCTGGTGAAAATTAGAGAAAACAACACAAACTCAACTTTGAAGTAATCCTGAACAACCAAATTTATACATGTTACACAAGTAGGGCAAATCTTGTTACACTGTTCAGGGGAGTCTCAACAATCATCCCAAAGTACCGTTTTCTGCAAGTTTTGGGCCTTTGTTTTCACCGCGAGGGTTGCCAGGCGGTGAAAATGCCCGGATGTCCGCCCCCGAGGATTGAATAAAAAACTTAATGTCTAAAAAAAAATACACAGAACAGTGGAAATGTGAACTATTTGATGACGTAAGAATAAATGGTGAGACAAATAAATTAGCCACATACAGAAAATTAAAAATTAAATTTAAAATTATTTAACAGAGATCAGCAATATTAAATCCAGACAACTTTTATGCAAATTCAGGATTTCAGATCATAAGTTGCTAATAGAGACTGGCAGACATAGACGGATACCAAGGGCAGAACGTACATGCAAAACCTGTAATGTAATTGAGAGTGAATATCATTTCATGATGGAATGTAGTAATTACATTGAATGTCGTAGAAGACTTATATTACAGAGTAAAAACAAAATTAAAGGTTTTGACACATTGCTTTCTGAAGTTCAATTTATTGAAATTATGAAGAAGTGCTCTATTGATGTTGTACAATTTATCCAGTTAGGTATGAAAATCAGAGATGAATTATACATGTAACAGCTCCACCAAACTAAGTAGCCTTTATTCGTCTTTTAAGTAATACATATTTGTCTGTACATAGTTTTTAGTTTAATTTAGTTTTTATTTGTTCTTAATTTTTTTCTGTTATTTATACAACCCAAAAAAACAACTTCTGTATTATGTTTTTCGTGTTGAATAAAATTATACTTATTTCATCAATAACCAAATATACTATTATCCTGTTCGGAGTGATTTAGTTTCCAATGCTACGCCAGGTCCTTAGTAATTAATGACTCCACGTATTTATTTGGCAGTTATTTGACAGACGTAAAATGCCATGATGTTAATTCGCGGAAATTTAAACATACTGATACTGATAATGAACTTGAATTAAAAAAATGCCCAAAAATACTAAATTTGCTATCCCATGGAAATAATGGACATCAAAATATTTGGCAATATATTAAGTTTTGCGTCGCATGCACACGATTGAAATATCATATAAAATAGGCCTAATATACTAAGAACAAGTTTACATCCTGGAATGGCCACGATGTACCACGGATCATAATGTACAGTGGTGCTAATCAAAGGGCGTGAATATAGTGGCCACTGATTAATGTACACATTGGTGCTATACCCCGTTCGACGATTCTGTAATCACCGTGGTATACACCCTCTAATAACTATGGGTTGGTCGGTGGATCGTATTGTAAATGGGTATGTATATGAACAAAACTACGGGACAAAATATTGCATGATTCGACGCCAAACCCAAAATATTATATTACTCAACACTTTTCAGCACCGAAGTGCGATTTCGAAAAAGGGATAACATTCTTGAATAATAATGGCAGTGAACAAAGTTTCAACTGGAATATAATAATAATAACTTTATTACACAACTGCATCATCGGTGGGTGCTGTATGGTAAGGATACAGATCAGAGAAAACAAACACAAAAAACAAAAATCAACAAAAGTTTCAAAATTACAAACACAACAAAGGGTATATATAAAATACGTATTACAATTAGGTTTTATAAATTGTGTTTTTTTAAGTTTTTTGCAAGTACAGTACTACTATTTATAATGCACGTGAATATTAAATTTCGGTTAGTTGTATATATATAGTATAGCCATGTGACGACCGAACGAATGATTCGTTTTTCTTTTTAAAATCCTATTTTTGAAAGGGCGAATTTGCCAGTGCCACCACAGGCATAACTTTGAGAAATACAGCTAAGCTCAAAATCGTGATTGCTTATGGCCAATTCATCAATTAGGATTACGCCAAAAATAAAAATATTAGATTCTAGAAAATTTTAGAAAATCGCTTCAAGTTGGCCGTCATTAGCCAAATTAGCCACACATTAGCACATTAATCATTATGATTGTTATTGTTTTATTCTGTCCAATATTTTTTGAATGTATTCTTTTTTTTTTCAAAATGTTGTTCAATTTTAAAACAGTAATTAATGTGTCGCATTCATCTGCTGTTTATAAATGATATTCATTAAAGACGATTCAGAGTACTCCTTAACTTTTTGTTTAGTACTCTACAATGTGTTTTTCTGTATGATTTTGGATTGAATACCTACTCAATTTGCCAATATATGTGTGTTTTGATATACATTATAGGGACCGACAAAAATGTAAATCCTCAATTTTAGATTTCAATTTACACTCATCACCCCGAACATCACCACAGACAATGAATGACGAGGTATGACGAGTTCAAAAAAAAGCATAAGTGATAACTGAATATTCAGTTTCCTATTAAAACAATTTTTCCCAGAGGGAGTACAATTTGTTATGGCCATTTCTTTTTAAGTGTTCTGGGCCGTTAAGTTAAAACAGTGCAGGGCAGTGTTACGTTCTCGATTTGATACGTTTATTTTTTATTTGGCTTATTGCTTTTTATTTTTAGTTTCATGGTAATTTATTTCATACATGTTTGAGCTCATCTGTATCTGTGTTTTTCATTCAGTGGATTTTTGAAACACAAACAAAAGAGTATGTGATATGCAACTGAAGTGGCGCTGTTTTCAATGATCAAAATGCGATTGCGCAGATATAGAGACCTGGCATTTCAGGAAATGACCTCCAAGCGCTGATCTTCCAAACTTAATAGAAAACTTGTGAGGATCACATGACAATTGTGCAGCGGCCATTTTAGTGTTCGAATGGTCATCGTTTTCCGGTGGATAAGGTAAAATGTTGCAGATCATTTGTTTTTATATCACGCAATTTCCATGTTAGACACGTGTTTTGAGAAAGTAGATTCTTAACTATAACCAGTTAGTGTTGTTCATTAGTAACGTTTAACAATGACATACGATTACGTCACTTTATTTCACATTCCGAAATCACTGGGCCGGCTGAAGATCGTAGCTTTGTTTGCGGTAGATTACTAAAAGACAGCGACCACCCTTTGCTCACGACGTTAAAAATATAGACAAACCAAGACGAGTTCATGAAAGGTACATCTGCATCGGTCCCTCATTGGCACTGAAATCAACCAACTAATGGAAATAAGAATTGTCAGTACTTATAGTACCTATGTAAAAGCCGTTTTGATTGCCATATTGATGTTGATGTATATGGTGAAAAGATAACCTTGTTTGTAATATCACTAATGTAATGACAGTGAAAACATTGAAGACCAAAAATGGTATGAACATTTCAGACAATTAAACGCAATAAATAATACTGATGAAAGCACTTTAAACGAAGAGATTGCTAAGCTTGAAAATGAAATTAAACCTACTACTGAGCTAGACCAAAATATTTCACAGTTAGAAATACAAACTGCAATTAGCAAATTGAAAAAAAAAAAAATCTCCAGGCATTGATAATATTAGAATTTCCCTAGCTCTTGGAATGTGAGCATTATCACTCCAATATTTAAAAAAGGAGAAAAATCTGATCCAGGCAACTGCAGAGGGATAACTCTTTTAATAACAAAATATCTTAATAATAATAATAACTTTATTACACTACTATGCCATCAGAGAGCGCAGTATGGTAAATAAAATACAAA